TTATCAGGCAATATCTTTAAACAATTATTTTTTTAATAATGTAAAACTTTAGATATACTGTTATTATTTACAACAACTTAAATACAACTTATAGAAAAATACAAATACAGCTTAAACTAAGAGTTTAGTGTTTTTTAATTATTTATACTTTATATAAATCTCTTGGCATCTTCAAACAAGACATTACCACAGAACCGAATCCAGTAATGTTGACTGCGAATTCTTCATAGAGAACAACAACTGTACGCAGACTCGCATGTGTCTGTGGCTCTAACGAGGGTCATTCCAAACGTTCGAGCCTGCCACATTTGCATGGGGCACACGAAGTTGCAGACAATGCGATGTGGGCACACACTCGGACATGTTTAAGTAATTGCGCGCGTGCGTGGTGGCAACTGCCACAGCTGGCGCTGCAGCGCAAACAATTGAGACACACTGTAGGTAGGTAGAGGTGCAAGGTGGAAGGAGGCAGAGAGGCGGGGAGACAGGGACAGTAGTTAAGCAGCCCGCCTTAGCGTTTTGCTTTTGTTTCTGTTGTTGGCATTTTCGTTGTTTCGTTTGATAGTTTCGGGCCGATAAGCCGGGCAGTCATGTTGGCTTTGTGGAAATTGTTTTAAAGCGCGACATGTCAAGTCGAGCTTTAGATAGGCGAGCACACAATATATATTTTGTCTGCTCAAAATGTGTACATAATAGCCCATAGATAAGATAGTAATGTGTCGCCTGGGCTCATAAATCATTTTCATTTGCATAGCACCTTTGATGGGGATTATTGTATTTGGAACACCACACTACTTATACCCGTACGTATTTATTTATCGTCGGACTTCCGCAATAGGGTGTGAGCGAAGCGAAACTTGCCAACTAAGCAGTTTTAAGCATCACTTTTCGCTTTCTGCTAAACACACTCAACATCCGCCGCTGGTGAAAACTTCATTTTGAAAATAAACAAATAAACAAACTCATTTTCATGCCCAGAGATCAAGCGGCGACTACTCGTATAATGAATGTGCAACTTTTTTCCACTGGTATGCGCTTCCTGCGCTGATTTCTAGAAATAGTAGTATATGCTGAGAGCCCAGCAACAAAAATGTTACACAAAACAATACGAGTATAAAAAATACGGAATTTTTGTTTCTTTTCAAATATTTATTGCTATTTATGTGGTCTTTTTATGTGCGTTTTGTGGCACAAAAATGCGCAGCAACAGCAACAGCAACGGCGGTGGCGGTGGCGGCAGCATTATACAAATTTCTTACAGCGTAATATGATTGATTGCGCCGTTGACCTGAAAACGAAGCGCAGCAGCGCCCCAAACTAATAGTTACACTTAACACAATGAGACCAACAACAGCAACAGCAGCAGCAATCAGGTAGAACATTGTGGGGCAATGGATCAGTCCAGCATCCAAAAATGTGGAGCAGCAGTTGCAGGGCAGCAGCATTAAGAAAATGAAAACCAATGGACATCAACAAACATACTGAATACATGTAAATACGTGTGTATCTACGAGTATGTACCTAGAAGCCAAATGGGTCAAGCGGGGCGTCATTTTGTTTTAAATAGACGCGCGTCTGAGGGCCAGCAAATGCAAAGCCAAAAGCTACTTCAATTCGGGCACACTGAGTAGGTGCTGCATGACTTTAGTGTAGACAGTCACAACTCCCTAAAAAGAAATTTCTCTACTAAATCCTGTGCCTTAAGGAATTGCAAGCAAACTGTTTGAATTGGATATAAATAGATAATTCGTAGATTAGATTAGACTGTTAATCTATACATCTTGATTAATTTTATATTGAATTGCATAATATCTATATAGTACTTTATACTCTCTTTGGTTGTCATAATTTCTGCTTTTCAGAATCAGATCGATAGGGGAGAGGAAGCTTACCAAATGACAAAATAATAGACCAAACATGAGATACTCCTTTCCAAATGTATAATTTATCAATATAATAATCAAATACCTAACTATAAAAATCGAATAAAAAAAATTATATTATACAAAATAGTTAGTGTTAGTTTTAAAAATCTAATAAACTTAAGACCGCTTCTTTCCCTGCTCTGAGAACTTGCTTTATAAGACTTGCCTTTCCTCTAAAATCTCTCCCAATCTATAGTTTTCTCCATTGGATCGCCATAGCGATAGTCGCCTGTACAGAGCACCCAATGTTATGGAACGCACTTCATGCAGTAGCAATTGGTCGCCAACTGCACGGCAAGTGCTTTATTTTTAGCTTTTACGGCTTTGCATGTGGGAGCCGTGACGTGGCGCTATTTTGGACATTTCGGCGGGCGCGCCAGTTGACGAAAGCGGTCATTTAATGAGCCATGAGCTATGCTTTTGTTATTCTTATTATTATTATTACTACCAGCTATTTTTTTCAATTTCACTTTTATATGTGCGTATGTGTGTGTGGCAAAGTCAGGCTTGTCATGCTTGTTGTGTTGCCATTTGAATTCATTTTCCTTTGGCTGCAAAACAAAAGACTCAGGCAACGAACGCGCCAAAGCCAATGGGGCGCTTGTATAATTAAAAAACCGTTAATATTGAAAACGTTTGCTAGCTGAACAAGACGCTGCCGCCGCCCCAAACAGATGCCGAGCGAACAGACGACAAGCTTGGTGTCAAATCAAACATAAAAGAAATTATTAAAAATTCATAAAAAAAAAATGTGCCTTAAATTGAAAACACGCCGAAAGAAATGTGAGAAAAGCACTGCGAGAAGAGCTATTTAAATGCGTTGTAAAATGCAAATGAGCACACAAAGCGTAATAAAACGAAATCATGTGGAAAAGTGAGCGATAGGCCCTGACATTTATATGGCAACTAATAAGCGTTGTAATAGAGGTTGAGGTTGAGGAGCGATGGCTGTCAAAAACTGGGGGGAAACTGTAGCGTTAAGTGTTCAGTTCAGTTCAGTTTAAAAGCAAGCCAGCAAACGGCATTAAGCTATAAAAAATATAAGAAATCAAAAGAAATGGCCAAAAGCCAGCATGACCACAAAAAGTAAATCGAAACATTGGCTCTCACTTGATGGACAGTGGGTCAAAATGCATATTGATTGACGTTGAAATGTTTTAAATGGGCCAGCAGCCGAAAACTTGGCCAAAGCGGCGGCAGGTGCAAGCAACACTGCTGTTGCCATCCGTTTTGCTTCGCTTTGCTTCGGCTGTCGTCTTGTGGCTAATAAGTGGCATGAATTAGTGGCCCGCCAGCACTCAATGAACTGTTTAGTGCAGCTTTGCGCCCGCGATGCTGAGCGATAAGTCGAAGGCTTTTAAGTGGGGTCTGGTTCCAAGAGAAATGCCACTCAATGGGCCGAGTAGCCATTGAGCACCGTTGTTAACAACAACAAAAACAGAAATCATAACAAAAACAACAACAACAACAGGTGAAGTAAAGCAAATCAAATCGTAAATTGGAAACCATTGACTAAAAGCTTTTGATAAATTATACAACAACCAACCAGCTGAGAGGGGAAAATACTATGCGCCAGCAAATTCAATGATTCTGTTAAAAATTGTAAATCTATGAATGGGCAGAGCGCCACAAATCTGCTTGATGGGAAACAGAAACATACGAATATATCGCTAAATGCTATATAGCCGCATTCGAAAGTCTGCTACAATATGCTCCGCTCTGCTATGCTCGGCCCGACTGTGGCCTGCTTTGCTTTTCTATGGTGGGCTTTGGGCGTGTTACCTTTCAAAAATTCTACGCGTTGCGACCCCAAGACGCGCGACAGCCCCAATATGCTCCAACAAAAGGTCAAAAGGTTTTCGCTTAGCCAGAAATTTGCACAGCACTTCATTCAATTTCATTCATAAAGTCGGCCATAAACTAATCATTTTATGGCCTGCCAAACAAAATGTTGACAGTTTTATTGTGTAAACGTTTCGACTTGTTCGAAAGCGCATTGTTGTCGGCGCCTGCCCCTTGCTTCTGCTTGCCACTATGTCTCTCGGCCAACTGTAATGTGGTGCGGTTACGCCTTGAAAAGTCATTGTCCAAAGTTTGCGCCAGTTCGCGCAGTCAGCCAGTTCCATATTATTGTACTCGTACATAATATATAAGCTTATATATTGTATATAGATATGTGTAGTATGTATGCAAATCCCCGTGCCCGAGCACAATGACTATCCACAATAGTTTCTCGCTTTTTCAATGGCTAAAAATAAACTCCTTTTGATACCAATATCACACAACAATAAGCAATAGAGCGGGCCAAATATAAAACAGAAATAAACAAGTGGAAATTTTGAAACCAGTTTCATCTGACTTCAGAATACACTCTAATTATTTGTTGGTCCAGCCTCGATTTCTGGGACTACAATACAAATGATTTAGTCTAACGATTTTAAAATATCTTATCATTGATTTATCATTGCTTAATTTGGTCTAAGTATTTCCACAGAAATTGAATTGCAGACTTGTAAATTTTACTGATATTTGATTGATTTCCTCTTCCCTCCACACGCTACAGAGTTTCGTCAATACTGTCCACATATCGAAAGCTACATAAACCAAACTTGGTAGGTAGACTCTTCTAATATCCGACAATACGAGCTTGTTTTATTTTTTGGTTTCCTACCCAAATTTCGACAATACTGCTCACATTTTGTAAGCTACAACTATCCACATTTGTTTTCATCCAAATCGTTAAATTCTACGAACAGTTACTAGCAAAAAATTTACCTCCAGTTCGACTGTAGAGTTCTCCCTTGTTACTTCTACGACTGTTAGACAAGGATGATCATAATATAAAGCTGATGCAGGTAAACGATTAGGTCACAAATAGACAATATTCATTAAAAACAATTACTGTGTCATCAAAATGTCTAAATTCAATCGCATTTAAAACATATCTATTACACATAAATTCATTAAAATATTTAATTACGATATGCAAAGGAACTCCCAAGCAGTATTGTTGTAGAGAAAACGCTCTTTCTGTTGGAATTGTTTAGATTTTTTACTTAAATAAGTTAGTTTAAATTTTAGCAAATTTCAGTATATATTTATACACGTATAGCAGTGATAGAAATCCTAATATGTATTTATTTGATGCACCATTTCACAAAACCTTAACGTAATTTGCTAATTGTGTTAGTTTTTAGTCCGCCTTGCTTTTCTGCAGCGCCCAGAATGTGATCTGGCGCATCGTAGTTTTAGTTTGGGTATTTTTATAGGTTTTGTTATCTTATCGTTGTGTGCTTTTGAATCGCCATCCATCTGTCTTCTTGGGCAGTCGTTCATTACTGTGCGTATGAAATCATGATAGATGAACGTGCTCACGAAAACATCGGGAAGGCCACGAGCGCAGGCTGACACATAGCTGGCAAGGCCTACAATTTTTCCTTTGTGTGTCAGAGGGCTTCCGGAATCGCCAACACATGCTCCATGCCCTATTGAATTGTAAGCGCATAATCCATCCTCGTCCACACCAAGCTTTGGCTCCCACTTTTCCAGGCATCTTCCGCGTGGCCAAAACTTAAATGTCATTGCCTGCTTTATTGTGGGGTATTCAATATCGATGTCCTGGGAGTTTGTGCCTGATGGTTTACGCTCATATTTAGTGGCCCCCCATCCCGTTAGTCGTAGCTCTGCGTACGGTTCCAATTCCTCTGTTTCGAGTTGAATCATTGCAACCTTTTCATTAAAACTTATACGTTTCTTTGTCCTTATCATTCCAATATCGTGATTCATTTCTGCGTCTAGATAGCTGCAGTGCTGAAACATCTCCTCTACTTCATACCGAAACTCTTCATTGACCACTTTAAGGTCATATACGCCCACCAGAACGGTGATGCCCCCCATAATACAATGTCCCGCAGTAACCACCCAAGTCGGAGCTAAAATAGCTCCGCCACATATATGATCCGAATCGTATTGTATAGACACTTGGTACGGTGACTCGTTCGGATCTGCCGCAGTGCCGCCAATAATCCGTCCAAGCCCGTTATAATTGCGATCCTTCTTTGCCCGAGCTGCCCTGCCTTGGCCATGCCCATGGTGTCGACATTCCGACGACTGCAGCGACAAGAGGAGGATCAGAATCTGCAGTACGTAGTTGTAATACTTGATCATTCTTATCTCCAACGTATTGGAACACTGAGCGTATCGGCACATAGCTAGTCAGCTTTCAATGCGTGCGAATTGATTGGCTCTGCCTGAAAGCTTGACAATTTTAATTTGTTTGCCCTTTAAAAGAGTGTATAATTAAATATATCAAGAGAGAATGTTGCAGTTAGGCAAACCCGACAATGAAATACCGTATACCCAGAAACACGTAATCTATTTCTTCTTCTTAGGGACTAGAAGAGTCTAGTCACAAACTTTGGTCATTGTGCTGAACGCAGTTGTCGAAATCCACGGGATGTTCGAAACGCACTGATAGAAGGATAGACAGATGCAATTAAAAGGAAGTTATATCTCTTTCTTCCTTTTGCTTGATTGGTTGCAGCGAAATCTTTTTAAATAGGGAACTCCATAGAAAGGGATAACATTGGGGTGTATATGGAGGAATACTTATGGTTTTGTACTTTTAGGATTTGCAACTGAAAACGATGTGAGCTCAATCATACAATTAATGGTCTTTGGAGATTCTTCAAAAGCATCAGTAACCAAATAAAGTTGGAATAATATGTGCTGCATGATCAGTTTTTTTTTTAAATGTAAAATTAAATACGAACAACAAAAGGTAAGCTAGAGTGAGGGATTCCGACTCTTAAACACCCTGTATCTACTTCCACTCAAAAATTCTAAAACATTTTTTAAATTCAGTTTTTATTAAAATGAATTAAATTAAATTAATAATATATACTAGTAGCGTAGTTCGATTGGAGGTGACCTAGCACAACGACCCTGAATACTAATTAGACGTAATATTCCAAATTAAGTTTAAAAATTCTAATATTAACGATAGATTAAAAAAATAATAACAAAATAGTGGGAATTGTGGGAGAGCATCGAAAAAACGCACCAACTTATCCTTTCTTGGACTTAGAAGAGTCCGTTATTCTAGCTCCTGCACTTGCCGAGATGCTTGCATTATTAGAGACAGACCGACAGATCCATTCGTCTTGTCATGATCTAGAATATATATAAATGCTTTTGGGGGGGGGGGGGGGTCTGCCACACCTGCTTCCCACAAAACTAGCATACCCTTATAATTTGGTTAGAGAATAAAAATATAATGATTTTACTAAACAAAAGACTTAGGCAACGAACGCGCCACACAGCAACAACAAAAACAGATGTAAAAATAATTGACAAATATATTAAGAGCATAAATCAGAATATCCAATGGAGCGCGAAGAGCGCACAATAAGCTCTTAATATAGCTGCAACAACAACAACTACAGCAATCAGCAGTCACAATCAAATAGATTTCATTGATTTTTTGATGACTGCGGCTGCGACGACGGCGACGGCTACGGCTACGCTTGCTTCCCAAAATCAAATACAACTAATATGAAGCCCAGGCCGAGCCAAGCAACTTTTATTATCATTTACCGCTTCTCCAGGCAGCGCTGAAAAAGTTTACCTGTTGTTGCTGCTGCCAGCGTTGCCGTCACGCTCTCAACAGCACCAGCGGCAGCAGCGAAAGACGACGACGACGCTGACGCTGACGTCGACGCGTCTGCGGCAAACGCCGCTGCCCGGCCAGCAACTTCTTGGATATGCTGGCGAGATTTAGTTCAGTTTCAAGTGTTTGTGCGTTGCGTGCGCCACGCTCGCGTCTACGTCTCCGGCTCAGCGCAGTGTGTTGAAGCGTCAATGTTGTTAGTGTTGTTATCGCCAGTACAGCAGCACTTCCGTAAAGTTCGTTTGCCGTCGGCCGGATTTTGAGCGCCAAAACCGCGTTGTTATTCCTGTCGCCCACTCGCAGCAACGGAAACTGCGAACGGATGTCGTTACTCGCTAGCTGCCTGATAAGCTACTACCCGAGTTTAATTAACGAGGCGCTGACTCGACGATCTCAAGCGTGAACGCGGGCTACTCGTACGAGAGAATATGACAAACAGCAGCCACGAAGAATTAGTTTTACTGAATTTTTAATTAGTTGCCACGCAAAAATGAAAATGAATATCAAAAGTGAAAATTTATGAATGCAGTTTAAGAATTATTATTATATATATTTTATATGTGCATGAGTGTACAAAAGTGTTTTTGTGTTAGTGTGCTTGTGTGCTTGCACAATTGGTATGAAGTCCAATTGGAGGCCATAAATACTGGCCATGACGTGTTGAATTATTGCACAGGCATGAGAGTTTTTCGGCCCATTTGTGTATTCAGGTTTTCTCGAAAACTAAACCTCAAATTAAGAATTAAATTCTGATACCCGTATAAAACATCCTACGCTCATTTTGCATATATTTATTGGATATTCTTCGCTTTCAAACTTAAAAACTTGGTAAGTGTAAGCATAGTTATAGAATTCCCCGTTTGTAAATTGTCACGAGTTGCCAGAAAAGTTCGTTGTCGCAGTCATTTGTTTACCATAAGTATACGACCCCTAGGGCATACACAGGCGCACTCAAAATATTCCTCAAACGCTACTTAGCAGATTTCTATGAAATTTTCCATAGTTTGCAATAAAAAATATTTTAGAGCATATTTTATTTGGCTTTTTTTTTGGTGATATACATAAAAAGCAAAAGCAAACAAAGCCACACTAGTCATTGGCGCTGCTTATCGTTGACCGTAAATTTGATTTTATCTACCGTTTTGTCAAGATATTTGATTTTTTTTTTTTTTTTTTTTGTTTAATACAATGCTGTGACGCAAATGCAAAGAAATCGCCGGGCTTTGTCTGAGCAAGCAAGAGCAGCGTTAGAAAATTTGGCAAACACGGGCCCAAAACGTATCAGTGCGTTGGTCTTAATGACAAATTAGTCACTCCGTGTGTGAGCTTGACTTGCTAGTTTGCAATAATTATACACTAATCTAGCGTATAATTAGCTAATTAGAACTGCGTAGCAGCAGACAAAATGAAAATGGCAAGCAACCAAAAAAAAAAAAAATCTTCCGGCAACACCTTCTGTGCAAAAATTTGGCGAAAAAAGAAAACAGCAGTGGCAGCAGCAACAACAGCAACAAGAAGTCGCTTAAAGCTATTAATCAACTGTTGGCTATATTTAAAGTTTGCTGTAAATAATAATGACTTCATAATTGAAATTTGTGCGTTGCTAAAAATATGTAAAAATTATTTCTAGCCACACAGAAGAAAGTTTTTTCATCTACATTTTGTGTTTATTTTTGGCTTTGGATCTGTTTTTTTATATATTTTATTGTTGTTTCCTTTGCACGTAGTATATGTGTGTGTGTGTGATAGAAATAGGTAGCCGCAAATAAACATGTAAAGAACACAGCCACAGATAAAGGCAATAAAAGCGCAGCTGCCAATTCAAAACTATGTATAATAAATTAGCAATGAATATTAAATGGAATTTAAATGGAAAACGATAAATAAATAATTAAATTTAATAAAAAAAGAAAAACATGCTTGCTTAATCGAAGATTATATACCCTCAAGAACTGTGTGGGGCTATATATTCTACAGATTAAAATAATACTGTACATATTAGGAAGATAAACATTTCGTCTTTTCTTTGAATGTTGATTTAGTATACAGTCGTTTATGGCTTTTATTCAAACACTGCTCGAATTTAGGTTGTATTATTTATTTATTCAATAAATGATTTGTATTAATAAAACAAACGCTTTAAAATAATTTAGAAACCATATATTCTCTTCTATACGACACAAACATTGGCTTAAAATTAGATTAGGAACATATTTAACAACAACAACAAAAACTACAAAATAGACTTGCTTTTCTGCAAAATGAAATTAGAAACAACAGCTAAAAAAGCCAATTTAGATAAAGCACCAACTATTTAAATCCATAACACATTTCTGACAGAAACTGTCTATGCTAAGTTAGGTCTAGGAGAAAAAATCCCACAGCTATAACAATTCATGCTTAAACATAACCAGAATTAAAAATAGCATCTTGATAGCATTTTAATTAAAAGCAGCCATACGAAAAAATACAAAAACTGCAAAAGATCTTCAAGCAAAAAAAGCCTCAAGGAAACAAAACAATGAGACTAAACGCCACTTATTCACAGCTAAACAATGTGACGAATGCAAACAATAGATTTAGGCAACAAACATAAAAAAATATATGTATTCTAAGATCGGAATTCATAACAAACCAGAAGAAGTATAAGTTTTTGAATTAATTGAAAACAGAAGACTTAGGCGACAAACTTGCTATTAGGAACAAATTGTATGCCGCCAACGTTTTTGAAGATAATATCAAACTATATTTTAAAGCACTTAACAATTCAATGTGGCGCTAATTTATTTGATTAATATTGTCCAAAAACATTGATAGGAGCTTATCAGACTGCTTTCTTACTAAAGTAAAGTCTTAATCTAAAATTAATCTAAAACGAAATACGTTGATAAGAGATCTTTTAATAAGTATTTCTATTGAATTCACCATTTGTATGGAAAACGCGTAATTTATAACTTAAGCTTTTTTTCCTTGAAATAATTACCTTATCATAATCATAACTGATAAATTGTTGAAAGTATTTTAAAGATAGTGCATCAAATAGCCTTTTGATTTCAATGTAACATACAAATAATGGCAGTTCAAGATGAGTCATTTAATGTACATTTAAAATTGTCTGCTGGTGATAAGAGATGTCGCTCTAAGAAGATCACCACTGCTTCATTTAAGAGGTGAACCAAAACAGTCTCACTTAAACCATCACAAGCATTATATATTGAAATGTTTTATTTTACCAAATTAAACGTAGGACAAAATATTATTTATAAATAAAGAAACCGATAGAAGTTTATTGCTTCGTTTCCCACTCCATTTAGTTACATAAGTTTCAGACCAGTCCTTGCACTAATACACAAATATCAAAGTCTATATCTAGCGTAGTAGAAGTATTTGCCTTTTATGGCCAAACAAAAGACTTAGGCTGCGAAAAGGCCCATTTGCAGTTGCATTGCAATCAGCTTGACTTGAAACGTTTAGTGTAAGCTTCATAATCGAAAACTTC